CCAGGGCCCCACCCATCAGCAGCTCAAGAGTTGTCCCTAGAACAAATAACATGCTTTTCCTCTGTGTCCCCTCCATCCGTGGCTACCACTGTTATCTTTCTCTCCTGTCTTCTCATCCTGAAGGTAAATAAAGATTCTACCTGGAGAAGGAAGGGCACTGTGGGCTCAGGTCAGGTACCAGTTATAAAGAAAGTATCATCATCCTCCTTGTTAGCTTGTCTTTACATTCAGTCCTGATTGTCCGTACTTGCATGGAATTATGGGAAACTGGACCTCTCTGTCTGAGGGAAGAGGGCTAGGCCTGTATTCCTTTTCTTCGAGAAGAAGGCTGACGTTCAGACTCCTGAGTCTAAAGGAGGAGGACTTTTGGGTGTGAGGGAGGAAGGCTGGGGTCTTGACTCCTTGGTCTGGAGAAGGACTGCTAGGGTCTGTCAGCCTTGGTCTAACAGAGGAAGACTAAGGCCTGGATACCTGGGTCTGAAGGAAGAGTCTGGGCTGTGGCCAGGTTTCTAGTGTCCTGGCAGAGAAACCCCTCAGGGTTTGAAATCCTGGTCTGTCTCTCATGCACACTCTGGTTTTAGAAACGTCTGGTTTTATACCGCTGCCCCACCCAGTCAGGGCGGTGTCCAGGCTAGGCAGTCAAACACCCAGCTCCTGGGTGGAGCTTGGGCTATCCCTTCGTAGCCACAGGAACTCCTCTTATCCACCGCTCTGGGCTTGCCTCCATCATCCTGACACAGCCAGACACTAAGCATCATGGGCTCCCGGCAAAAGCATCAGACACAGCTTGCCCTCCCCCGATGGGTGGTGGGTGGTGCCCAGGCTCCCACCACCAGGGACCTTCTCCCCAGTGGTCAGGTTCAAGCACAGGCCAACCTGGCACTGCTCCTACACCCTGTCTAGCAAGGTTCTCACACCCTGCTGGCTCTGTTCAGGAGAAGCCCGAATGTCTAAGAGAGATGAAGCAGCAGGAGAAAGGAAAAACAGAGACCTAAGTAGTCGGAAGGGGAGGGGAGAGAGAGAGTCTCACAAAGAGGCAGGCAGATGACAGGTAGAGACATAGCGGGGTTAGGGGGATAGATAGAGGACAGATACACAGATGGAAGGTTAATAGAGGATGATAGATGAGAGACAGACAGACACACAGACATAGGTAGACGAGAGATGGTGACTGGTAATGGACGTGAGAGGGGAAGACTGGCAGAAACGGAGGAGAGGGAGAAACGGGAATAGGGACGGGTAGAGAAATAGAGTCAGGGGGTCAAGTACAAAATGAGAGAGCAAGTGTAAGGGAAACAGCGAGAAAGAAAGAATATAAATTGTCAGCATTCACCACACAGGAGGATGAAGGAAGAGAGAGTTACTGGACACTACCCACCATCAGTTCACAGTGAGAGGGACATTGAGAAAGGCAGTCTTAGAGCTAACAACAACAAAAACCCCCAAACAAATAGTACAAAAGACTGACAATGGCCGGGCGTTGGTGGCGCACGCCTTTAATCCCAGCACTCGGGAGGCAGGGGCAGGCGGATCTCTGTAAGTTCGAGACCAGCCTGGACTACCAAGCGAGTTCCAGGACAGCCTCCAAAGCCACAGAGAAACCCTGTCTCGAAAAAACCAAAAAAAAAAAAAAAAAAAAAAAAAAAAAAGACTGACAATGATCACTATGCTTCAGGCCCAGAAGAGCTGGAATACACACGCCCTGAACCCCATCTCTTCCCACCTGTGTTCTGCCCCAGTCCCTATGACGTATATCAGAGCACTAAGCCCAGGCCATTCCTGGAAGTCATTGAAGTCTCTCAGAAGAAACATCCCAGTATTCCAGTCCTCAGCCTTAGCCAGATCTGACACGGACACACACACACACACACACACACACACACACACACACACACACACACACACACACACACTACAGATACACAGACAGACACATATCAGCCCATAGAAGAGCTGGCAATTCTGACTGTAGCTCCAGGCTTCTGTGAAACACACGCCAGCAACGCAGGCACACCCACAGACATGCACATTTATGCACTCTAGCTATCTGCCAGTTGCTGATATATGGTCTTCGGGGACACTTTTGTAGAGAGTGACGAAAGGAAGGGTAAGCTCGGGTGAGATGAGGGGTAAATGAGGAAGAAGAGTAAGCAAGAAGGTGTGGGGGCCGGGAGACAGGGTGGGTGGGTGATGGAAAGTGATAAGACAAATGGGGAGAGAGAAACACAGACAAAACACAAGAGAAGCAGCTGAGGGAGATGGGAAAGACAGAAACAGGTGACAGTCTATACAGAAGGGACAAATGAAAGGTAAAGTGAACTCTATGCAAAAGAAAAGGGGAGAAACAGAAAGCAGCTGAAAGGCTGGGAGAAAGGGGGGAGTGAAGAGCCAGTTTGAGGGACTGTGAAGGGAGGTCCTATCTGGTGAGGGGGATGGGGGCAATGTCGGGAATAGGGAATCGAAGAGGGTGGAGTCATGGCACTGCCTGACCTCAGAGCCCCTGGACAGGCTAGCCTGACGTCAGCCTCCTCCACCCCCGCATCTGCTGGTCTTCAAATGGCCCCCCTCCAGCTAGCTCCAGACACAAACGGACTGCAGAGCAAGACGGAGAGGAGAGAATTCAGCAAGACCCACAGCCATGAGACACGTATGTAACATGTGTGTTTGCATGTGAGTGTGTGAGTGTGTGTGCGCGCGCGTGTGTGTGTGTGTGTGTGTGTGTGTGTGTGTGTGGTGTCTGCTGCCATAAAAGGGTAATTACTACCACATGTGAGACCATGTGTATTGGGGACTATTAAGAATGTGCTTGTACATGTGTGTATGTCTACTTGTGACAGCCACTGTATGCGTTCAGTGAGCATGTGAGGTGGAGTGAGTTTCCTTCTCTATGCTTATTGCCATATTATTTACCATCCATACATGTCTATCATTCTGTAAGTGTATGTTGGTACTCCCAAAGGAGACTGCATGTGTGTAATACATGCATTTTGGTTTTGATTTTATAGGTTCAGAATCTAAATAGCTGAACTACATGCTTTCACCAGTAGTCAACCTCTCTTGACCTGGAAAAATAGCAATTTCATACATCTGGGGTTCATTTGAAACAGTGGTTCTCAACATGTGGGCTACGACCCCTTTGGTCCATTTGGAACAATGAAAATACATCCTGTATATCAGACACTTACAATTCATAACAATAGCAAAATTAGATATGAAGTAACAACTAAAATACTTTTATACTTGGGGGGGGTCACCACAACACCAGGAACTGTATTAAAATGTGGCAGCATTAGGAAGGTGGAGAACCACTGATTTGAACTGTTCACCATTTCTTCTGAAACCTTCTATTTCTGTTCCATCACCTCCAGATCCTTGATGGCTGTCTGGATGCTTACTGACATGTTGTTTATCATCTTGACATTGTTTCTTCCTGATGCTGAGGGCTAGTGTCCTCAGACCTCAGTGGGAGGTCACAGGACACCTGTGTTCAGCCTGAGACAGTATATGAGATTGTTTTGTGGAGCATGGGTGCTTTCAGCCTGTGTGGCTGTTAATGTTGCAAGTACAGCAGTAGGTAGAGGTGTCCATATCGCTGGCATCCAAAAGCTGAACCACCCCTGGGAGCCCAGGCACAACGTGTATGAGGCAAAAAGATAGGAATGAAAGAGTCTAAAAGAAAGAATAACTGTTAGTGGGTATTTAAAAGTTCTGTCTCAAGTTGGGTTCTACGTACCTGAGGTCCCAGATACTAGGGAGGCTGAGACTGGAGGATGCTTGAATCTAGGAGTTCCAGGCCAGTTTGGGCAACAGTGGGAAAGCCTGTATCTTCTTTTTAAAATCCCCCAGCCCCCAACTCACCTCTAATGTTCAGAAACATAAAGGGAATTTCCACATATGATTTTTAAATCCTCTTGAAAAAGAAAAAAGAGGGGCCTAAAAGATGACTCTGGGTGTAAAGGTGCTTGCTGCTAACCCTGACAATCCAGTTTGGTTACCAAGATCTACATGGTGGGAAGAGAGAATGTCGTCCCATAACTGTCCTCCACCCCCCCACATACACAGACACACACACACACACACACACCTGCTCATGTCCTGTGACATGTATATACCCACACACAAAATAAGCAAAAAGTAAATGTAATGTTTAAATGAAATTAATTTTGATACTTTATTCGCTTCAACCCAGTGTATGAGACAACTGTAAACTTTTCTATCAAACACCAGTCAGGAAATATCTGAGGACTGGAAGCCCTCGTATTCTCTGAAGAACCTACTCAATCCCAGTATTCTACAGTAGAATCAGAATAGACACCAGGTAAAAAGTGGTGTAGTGTTAAGGTTCCTGGGATTTGAACTGCAAGTAACTTTCACACTCCACAAAACCTTTTTATTTCCCTTTCAGCTGTTTTGCAAGTACATACATACATACATACATACATACATACATACATACATACATAATACATACATTTGTTTGTAAGTAGTATCAGAAACCTGTGTCCTGACCACTATCGTATACTTAAAAATATAATTGGGGCTGGTAAGATTGCTCAAAAAGAAAGGTATTTGCTGCTAAACCTGATTAGCTGAGTTTGTTCCCCTACATGATGGAAGGTGAAAATTAACTCCTGAAAATTGCCCTGACTGCCACTCACACACCATGGCATGTGTGCACACATATATGCACAAATAAAAATTAACTAATTAATAAGCAAACTCATAAACATTTTTGAAGCATGATTGATTTAGGCATGTAGTTCAGCTGGTCCAGTGCTTAAGGAGCATGCACAAAGGCCCAGGTTCAATCTCCAGGTCCACATAAACAGAATGCTGAGGCCTACCTCTGTCATGCCATCACTCAGAAGGCTGAGACAGAAATATCAGAAATTCAGTGTCATTTTGGGCCACACAGTGAAGACAAGGCCAGCCTGAGCTTCATGTCACATTGTCTGGAAAAAAAATGAGCATTTTCCACGCAAAAATATTAATGAGATCTTTCGTTTTTTCACCCACCCCAGTCTGAGACTAAAAAATGAAAAAAAAAATGGCTTGCCAGGGTTTAGCTTTTTATGAAACCTACAGTTAAAAAGAGAAGAGTCATGCGTCACACTTGTTCAAAGCATATTTAAAAGTTTTTCAATAATTGAACAGGACTAAACAGAGCATTTGTTTTAATGTATATATTTAAATTATGCATTTGCATTTAAATGTGTGTATGTATATGCATGTGTGTATGTATGTACATGTGCATATATGTGTGTGTATGTACTGTGTGTGTGTATGCATGCACACACACGTACAAGCACCTATGTGCTTATTCAAGTGTGGAGGTCAGAGGAAAATTTTCCAGTCTATTCTCTCCTTTGTCCAAGTGAGTTCTAGAGATCAAACTGGAGTCCTCAAGCTTGGTAGCAAGTACCTTTATCTACTAAGCCATCTTGCTAGCCTCTTCCTTTTTATTTTGAGAGTTATCCACTGAATTAACCAGGCAGGTCTTGAACTTGAAACCCTCTTATAACATTCAGCCTCAAAAGTAGCTAGGATGACATGCTTACATCATTAGGCCTTACATTAATGTCTCTGTGTATATGTCGAACAGGTGTGTGCTCAGATGAGCCTGTTCCTGTGGAGGCCAGAGGTCACCATCAATGTCTTCCTCTATCTGTTCTTTACTATTTGTCTAAAAGATAGGGTTTCCACTGAACATAGAGCTCACCATGTCAGCTATAACGGCTGGCCAGCAAGCCCTGGCCATCTACCTGTCTGCCTGCCTGGTGCTAGGATTATAGGTGGGCACTGAGCTTGTTTGTGTATGCTGAGACATTTCCTGAGACTGCTAATGTTAAATTTTAAATTAAGATTAGAAACTCGCACACTGGTCATATTGGCTGCATTTCAGCTGTGGACAGCGTTGCCTACCTTATGTTGATACCCATATCCCACAGTCAGCTAGAGAAGGAGGATCTGACAGTCTAAAATAGAGGAAGCACTACAGCCCGACTGCCTGCGTTTGAACCCTAAGTCCTCTGATTACTATCCGAGTGACCTTTGGTGAGGGAATTCATCTCTCTCGGCCTCTGTCACAGGACACAGCAATAGTACACACTTTGGAGTGTTTCTGTAAACAGTGTCTGACTGCGGGAGCTGAGAAGATAGATACCCTTTGCAGCCTCCACTGATATGTAAATGCACATGGCCCTGCCAAGTCACCGGACAGTGGAAAAGGGGCACACATCAGGCCTCTGGGAAGTCAGAGGTGCTATTCTGTCACCTGTGGCTGCTCACCAGTCACAAGTGTTTGGCTACCCTGTTTTGCTATCTATACCACAACTGCAGGGTTCCCTGATACGGGGAAAAAGTCTAGGAGGATTGTGATTAATAACTGCAATCCTGGGTTCAAGTCCCATCATCTTTGGATTTCTGTGACTCCGGCTCTGTGTGGAAAATGGCAGTGGTAAGAGTACTTACCTGGGGATGGAAATAAAGCTCAGCTGGTTGCACACCTGCCTAGCATTGCTCTATCTCCAACACCGCATGATCTGGGCACGACGGTGTATGCTTGTCACTCCAGCACTCCAGACGTTGAGACGGTAGAATCAGAAGTTCAAAGTCATCCTTGGACAGGTTGGGCTACAGGAGACCTTATCTCTAAAACAAACTAGTTCAGATAAAAGGGTTAAAACAGCATTTGATGCACTTTTTGTATAAACTGTTTAGTATATGCTATCAGTGTCTTGACACAGAGAAACATTTATTTGTAGGGTTATTCTTAACTTTATTATAGTTTTTTTTCTAATTTTAAAAATTACTTTTTGGGAGAAGGCATTGGAAAGCATGTTTTCTATCACAGAACGGCAAGTTGATTTCTCTCCTTCAGTCCTATTGGTTCCAAGGATAAAACTCAGTTGTCAGACTTGCAGGGCTGGCACCTTTAACCCACTGACCCATCCCACAAGCCAGCACCATTTTATGGGTTAGGGTTGGGAGAAAGCCTGGGGAACTGCATTGTATATTTCTTTTGTGTAGAAGACATGCTTAAGCTGGGGGAGGGGAAGGCATAATAACTTACTTTAGAAGGCATCAAGTAAAAGCCAGACTTGGTGGCTCACTCCTGTCTTCCCAGCACTCAGGAGGCGGAGGTGTTCTAGACCAGCTGGGGCCACACAGGCTCTTTCCGTAGCATACTTAATTACACTAATTAATTAGCATAATTAATAAAATTAGGCATTAAGCCAAGATAATAGCCACACTTGCTTCAAATGTGATGCTCAGGGGATCTTTTTAAGATCTCTTAGGGTGCTAGAGACATAGCTGTCTCGGCGATTTTAATAGCACTTGCTGTCCATGTAGAGGGCCTGAGCCAACTGGCTTCACAGTAGCCTATAACTCCAACTCAAGGGCATACCAGGCCCCTTTCGAGGCTCCCTTCTCGCATCTGTGGGCACCAGGCACATGGTACACGGCCATATGTGCTGACAAAACACCCACAAAAATAAAATTAAATAAATAAATAAATAAACCTTTAGAATATAAGACAGATCATTTTTAAAGTTCTGGGATGTTATCTTCCAGCTTAGAGTGGGGATCTCCAGGAGTAAGATCTTCTCCTCAAAGCCTTCAGGACTGATCCTTCTCCTTGGCTTCCCCATAGGACATGCCAAAGCCCTCAGAGGCAGCCCGCCGCTGCTCCGGTCTGGTTAGGCGGGTGCTCACGATTACATTCGCTCTGCTCATCCTTGGCCTCATGACCTGGGCTTATGCCGCCGGCATCCCTCTCGCCACCGATCGCTATGGCCTCCTGGCCTTTGGCCTCTACGGGGCATTCCTCAGCGCGCACCTGGTGGCACAGAGCCTCTTCGCTTACCTGGAGCACCGGAGGGTGGCGGCGGCGGCACGGCGCGCCGCGGCGAAGGGACCCCCGGACGCCGCCACTGCGCGCAGTGTGGCGCTCACCATCTCTGCCTACCAGGAGGACCCCGCATACCTGCGCCAGTGCCTGACCTCGGCGCGCGCCCTGCTGTACCCGCGCGCCCGGCTGCGCGTCCTCATGGTGGTGGACGGCAACCGTGCCGAGGATATGTACATGGTGGACATGTTCCGCGAAGTCTTTGCTGATGAGGACCCCGCCACCTACGTGTGGGATGGCAACTATCATCAGCCCTGGGAGCCGGCGGAGGCGGCGGTGGGTGCTGGTGCCTACCGCGAGGTGGAGGCGGAGGACCCCGGGCAGCTGGCGGTGGAAGCCCTGGTGAGGACGCGCAGATGTGTGTGCGTGGCACAGCGCTGGGGAGGCAAGCGCGAGGTCATGTACACGGCCTTCAAGGCGCTGGGAGACTCCGTAGACTACGTGCAGGTGAGTGCAAGGTGCCCCGTGCCTCCTGAGTGTGATGTCAAACCCTCAACTTCAGGTCTTGGGAGGTGGAGGCTGGAGAATCAGAAGTCTAAAATCAGGCTTTGAACTTTAAAACAGGAGATACTGTTTCAATCAGATTTGAAGAAGCCTCTTCTCTTTACTCATTTGGCAAAGAGATATTTCTATAGTTATTCGTGCTTTTATCTATCCTGCAATAGAGCATTCATTTCTTCAATGTACTGTCAACCCTGCCTTCTCTCGTGTGTATGTGTGTGTGTGTGTGTGTGTGTGTGTGTGTGTGCCCCCGCACGAGCGCGTGCTTGTGCACGCTGGAAGCCTGATAAAGACTTCAGGTGTACTGCTCCTTCACATTCCTCCCTCATTCCTTTGAGACAGGTCCTCTCACTGAACTTAGACATAGACTGGCAGTCAGCAAGTTCCCAGTGATCCTCTTGTACACACACACACACAATATTACAGGCAGGCACATGAAGCCACACCTAGCTCTTTACATGATGCTGAAGATCCGATGCGGGTCGTTAAGCTTGCATTGCTCCCAGCTAACGCCCCGATCTTAAATCCTTTCTTGCCACATATTTAGACAGAAACTGATTCATCCATTCATTCATCAACCACTGATGAACTGATTTAATATGGACGTTTGTTTAGTCAGTGGTATCCATCCTATTTGATGCAATGGCCCCTTGTTTATTCCTTTGGTGTGAATCTTTCGTTCAATGACACATCCATCTGTGTGCACATTCAACGCAGTGCTCATTCACTCTGTCCACTTGTATACTTGTTGCTGTGACAAAACATCAGACCAAAGCAACTTAAAGAAAGGTTTATTCTGGCTCAGACTTTTGAGGGTGCAGTCCACTATATCAGGGAAGGCATGGATTTGGAAGCTCGAGAAAGCTGGTCACACCACTCCTGCAGATGGGAAGCTGAAAGAGAAAAGGAAGTAAGACCCAATCGCTGACCACCACTTCCTAAAGGTCATATAACACTCAGAAACAGTGCCACCAGGTATGAGACCAAGTGTTCATAAACATGAACTTATAGAGTACATTTCACATCCAAACCATAACGCTGGGCGAAGAAATCCATTCCCTCTTTCATTCATGCAGCCACTGGAGACAAAAGGAAGCTGTCTATTTGATCATATGTTCATTCATCCATTTAATACAAAGATGCATTCACTCAAACAATCACCCACTAATCTATCCAGGCATTCAATATGTTACTTTCTTTCTTCATGCCATATGGAAAAATCTTCCCTTCGCCCTTGTACCCACCCATGTACCTATATATCCAGTGTGAACCTCATCCACTTTTATATAGGGGTTTGTCCCCCACTTTTTTGCTTTCTTTCCTTCAATATTGATATTTTTGTCATCCAACCATCCATCTATGAAATATAAACCATTATTTCATCATGCACTCATCCATTCAATGTGGTCACTCATTAACATGCTACTGTCTTAGTCTGTTCTCCTGTAGCTGTGACAAAAATACCTTAAGGGAGGAAGGGCTTCTTTTGGCTCAAAATTCAAAGTACAGTTCTTCATGGAGGGGAAGTCAAGGCCCAGAAACTGGGAGCAGCTGGTCACACAGCATTCACAGGTTGTGTTCAGCTCACCCTCTCTCTCTCTCTTTTCTCCCTCCCTCCCTTCCCCCCCCCCGTCTCTGGTTTTGCGAAACAGGGTTTCTTTGTATAGCTCTGAAGCCTATCCTGGCACTTGTTCTGTAGACCAGGCTGGCCTCAAACTCACAGAGATCCACCTGTCTCTGCCTTCCAAGTGCCGGGATTAAGGGCATGCACCACCAACGCCTGGCTTCACCTTCGCTTTTTATTCAGTCTAGGATCCTAGCCCAGGAAATGGTGTAAACAGTCTACAAGCCCTTCCATGGACTAGCCTGGTGTAGGGTTCTGGTCTGAACCTGGTCCCTTCCTCTTCACAGGTCTGTGACTCAGACACAAGGCTAGACCCCATGGCACTGCTAGAGCTTGTACGAGTGCTGGATGAAGACCCCAGGGTGGGGGCTGTTGGAGGAGATGTGCGGATCCTTAACCCTCTAGATTCCTGGGTCAGTTTCTTGAGTAGCCTGCGATACTGGGTAGCCTTCAATGTGGAGCGAGCTTGTCAGAGCTACTTCCACTGTGTGTCCTGCATCAGCGGTCCTCTGGGTGAGTGAAAGGATGCCTTGGAAGTCTTGTAGGTGTGCAGTGAGGGGGACAGGAAGCCAGAGGCAGGCTAAAGTTGAGGACAAAGATAGGGCTGGGAGTCTGGATTGCAGATGACCTGAGACTGAGGAGTGGGTAGAGGCGGTGGTAGAGCTGTGCTGGGTTTGCTGGAGAGGAATGAAGTTAGGAAAGGGAAAGGATGGAGACTGGGGAAGTTGCTGCAAAAGGACTCGTGGAAATGCGTGAGATAAGTTGGGGTGGAGATGGGGCTGAACAGGGCACGGAGGATGCTGTGGCATTTTGGGGGGAGTGGTGACCTCACGGAGAGCATGGTCAGGTAACAGACACACTGGAATGGGCAGGGGATTCACATAAGACTGGGGCTGTATTTAGGGGTGGTGATGGACAAGGCTGAGACTAGGATGGAGATGAGGAAGCGCAGAGAGGGAAAAAGAGATGTGCTGAGCACAGCATTGACTACATCGGAGACTGATGCTTGGATCCCTCCCACCCCCCAGGCCTGTACAGGAACAATCTCCTGCAGCAATTCCTGGAAGCCTGGTACAACCAGAAGTTCCTGGGCACCCACTGCACTTTCGGGGATGACAGGCACCTCACCAACCGCATGCTCAGCATGGGCTATGCTACCAAGTAAGTAGAGGGGTCGTGTGTGTGTGTGTGTGTGTGTGTGTGTGTGTGTATGTGTGTGTGTGTGTGTGAGTGAAGAGTGTCCCTGAGCAAGAGACACAGGGACAGACAGAGAGAGGCAGAGGATAAATATCATAAGAGGCAGAGGAGCTATAGGTATTCAGCCCATGGCCTTCAAAGAGTTTGAAATTAGGAGACAATTAGAGGTACCATAAAGGTTGTAAAGGGTTTTGTGAACCCTTTTCACCTCTACCAAACAAGACAAGGTGAGGATGAGAAATTTCACATAGAAGGAACAAGGTGGATGGGGTAGGTGGGCTGTACCATGGAGACCAAGCCAGTGTGGACACTCAGAAGGGAAATGAGAAGGGTGAGATAAGCAGATTGGGCAGGTGAAAACTAGTGAGAGAAGCAACGAGAAAAGAGGAACCTGAGGAGCAGAGACCCTGATCTCCACGAACCACTCTGGAGGTCTTCCAGGGACACAAAGTTGGATGCCCTAGAGACACAGCAGTAGGCTGTGGGACATAAATTCTTTCTTACACCAAGGAGACACCATTATGTATCAAGTGTGGTAACCTATATAGTATGTTGTGTGACTTTTCCTGGAGAAGAAGTGGTGTCCTAATTTAAGTCTTGTTTCTGCAACAAATATCCCCAACCAATAGCAACTTAAGGGAGAGCCTGTTTGTTTGGCTTACAATTCCAGATCATAGTTCATCACTGACAAAATCAAGGCAGGAACTCAAGCAGCCAGCTGTATTGCATCCACAGTCAAAAGCAGAGAGAAATGAATGGGCCCTAGCAGGCTGCTGCCTTCTGCTTAGTACTTTCTCTACACTTACATTATTCAGTACCTACGCTGTGAAACAGTGCTACCCAAATTCAGGGTGAGTCTCCCCACGTCAATAAACAATCAGGACAGTTGCCACAGACATGCGCACAGGCCAACCTGATCTAGACAGTTCTTCAGTGGAGGCTTGCTTCTCAGGTGATGCTAGCTTATGGCAAGTTGACAGTGAAACAAAATAAACAAAAAGTAAGTATGCCTGTTGTTTGATGCCAGTCATAGGTACCACAGTAGAGTGAGAAGCTCACCAAGATGCCAAACCTTCCATTTCTGATGGGGCAGAGGGTTTCAGCCTTCTTGGAAAACACTGACCCCCAGTTAGCTCACTACAGTTACTTTATTCAAACATATACAAGGTTAATAGGGGCTGGGAAAAGTTTCAACTACCAAAGTTAACTTGCTCTTGCTGCCCGTGAAAGCAGAAAACCCATATACATCTAAGTCCCTTTTGATTATATCCAGAGAGACTTTTTTTTAAGGTTTAAACAGTCTCAAAACAATTTCCCAGTATCTGCTGGTCAACCCAAACCTATCAAAGGCTTTGCTGAAACATTTCCCTCAAAGCCAGGCACAAAGGCTTTACTACACTTCCCACTTAAAGTCAGACATAGAGGCTTTACTTGACATATCACTACATCTACCCAAGTCTAACTTGGTGCCAGTGAGCTCACTGGGTTTACTACGCATGCCTGATTCTGAGGCAGCTTTGACTGCACACAAAAGCTGCAACTGTAGAGCTTCCTGAGCACTTTGCAGGCAGCTCCACTGAAGAGTGGCCTGCTCTCACCCAGCCCTCCCCCACAATTGCTCACTTCCTGGAAGAAGGCTCTCCTTAATCTTGTAATATTTTAAGCTTCCTGGCTCTTGTAAATTCCTTGATCTTCCATTAGCTTTTAAAGTCTTCCTTTCTCCCTTCAAGAGGAAATGTTTCAGTTTGAGGAGACAGCCAGAGTTGAAGCACCAATCTCATTTTAGCCGAGAGCACCAGGAGTGAGGGCAGTGAGCCAGCAGAGGTTGTCCCCTTGTGAAAGGCTCATAGGATCTTTACTTAAATCATCGTGCAAGGCTTTGAGCAGAAGACTGGCATGTAACAGCGTCCTCCAGGCAGATGTTTTCGGTACAAACAGCAAAGACAGAAGCAAGCAGAACTCCGAGGGTGCCAAATGATACGAGAAAGCGAGACACTATCACGCATTGCCCTTGGTGAGAGACTAGTTTAATGAACTAACTGCTGATGGCCACCCGTGATGTCTCCTTAACTGGGATTCTATCTACCCCACATGGGTCTGGCTAAGGCATGTGAACGACAGATGAACGGTTTCTACCTCAGTCACAGGAAGGGGTCCAACTGTTCTTTTGAGAACTTCTCATACAGAGACTAACCTGGGTAGTGGCCAGTCTTGCCTTACTCCTCATGGTAGGACCTGCCAGTTTAGTCAGCACTTAGTCATGTCACTGATGATGTTATTATCAATGACTAATATTAGTCATGTCTGCAGTAACAGTGTTAGTCACAGTAAAAACAGCAGTAGCTCACACTGCTTGACCAATTACTAGAAACTGCTTGGCATAGGATCTTCATGCAGCTTTGGCTGCTGTAAATACTAAACAGTGAAACAGGCCTATAGAAAGGATGTTGAGGAGGCTGGAGAGACGGTTCACTGGTTAAGAGGACCTGTTTCAGAGGAGCCCAGTTGAATTCCAGCACCCACATCTGATGGTTCACAATTGCCCGTAACTCCATTTCCAGGGGACCTGAGACACACACCTCAGGCCTCCTTGTGCATCCATACATTTAGGCACATACACACCACACACATAGCACATGTACAAACACTGCGCGCGCGTGCGCGCGCGCGCGCACACACACACACACATGCGCGCGCGCACGCACATACACGCACACACACACACAATCAAAACATTCATGTACATGAAATGAGCTTAAAATTTAAAACTCCTGCCCAGGCCCCTAGAAAGAACCACACTGATGCCCACCCTTGTTTCTCTGCGCCTGTCAGGTACACCTCACGCTCCAGATGCTACTCGGAGACGCCCTCCTCCTTCCTGCGCTGGCTGAGCCAACAGACCCGCTGGTCCAAGTCTTATTTCCGGGAGTGGCTATACAACGCCCTGTGGTGGCACCGCCATCATGCATGGATGACCTATGAAGCGGTGGTCTCGGGCCTCTTCCCTTTCTTCGTGGCGGCCACAGTGCTGCGGCTCTTTTACGCGGGCCGCCCGTGGGCTCTGCTCTGGGTGCTGTTGTGCGTGCAGGGTGTGGCCCTGGCTAAGGCAGCTTTTGCAGCCTGGCTGCGCGGCTGCCTGCGCATGGTGCTGCTGTCACTCTATGCACCACTCTACATGTGTGGCCTGCTGCCCGCCAAGTTCCTGGCATTGGTCACCATGAATCAAAGTGGCTGGGGCACCTCAGGCCGGAAGAACCTGGCTGCTAACTATGTACCGGTGCTACCCCTGGCACTCTGGGCTCTGCTCCTGCTTGGAGGCCTGGTCCGCAGTGTTGCCCAAGAAGCCCAGGCTGACTGGAGTGGCCCATCCCGGGCCGCCGAGGCCTACCACCTCGCTGCTGGGGCAGGCGCCTATGTGGCTTACTGGGTGGTAATGCTGACCCTCTATTGGGTGACTGTGCGGAGGCTCTGCAGGCGTCGCAGTGGAGGCTACGGTGTTCAGGTGTGAGTCTGGCCATGAACATGCCCACTGGAGGGCTGCAGGGTGGCTCCAGGAACCACGAATTCCATGGCCTCGGTTTCCTTTCTCTTTGAAATGAGGGAGTCATTCTTGAAATACATCCAACCGACTGTATTGGAACTCAAGACTTTGGGGGTCTCTGGGGAGGGGTAATTTATTGATCAGGGTGTGGGTTTGTAGAATCAGGGCCAGAAGGTCCCCGCTTTCTCCCTGTTGCTATTTAACGTGTTTGTACTGTGACTAAGATATAATAAAAATTTTAATTTATTTTCTCTCAAACACCTCTTCCCAATTTTTCTTGTCATTGAGAACTAGGGACACAGAGCCCAATAAGGAGTGATGGGTGTTTTAGCCTCCACAGGGCACTCTTCTTCCCGGGAGTCTATGTTCTGACATCATACAGTACAGGTATTGGAGCTGGGGAGATGGTTTAGCAGTTAAGAGCACTGGCTTCTCTACCAGAGGACCCGAGTTCAATTGCCAGCACCCACATGGTGCCTCACAACCTCTGTAACTTCAATTCCAGGGGATCTGACATCTTTTCCTGGCTTCCGTGGTGGTAGTGCACAAACATACAAGCATACATGCAGGCAAAGACCCATACATCTTAAATAAAAATTAAAGAAAATACAAATATTAGGCCGAGCATGTGAGGCACACCTATAATCCCCATCACCTGGAAGTTGACGTCATTCTCGATTACCTTTGCTTCCTGTTACTGTGAGAAAATTCCCTGACAAAAGGAGCAAGGGAGAAAGGGTTTATTTGGCTAATTCCAGGCCACTGTCCATTATTACAGGGAAGTCAAACCAGCTGGAACTTGAAGCAGCTAGTCACAAGAGCAATGGATTAATGCAGAACATGCTGGCTCATCTCAAGGTCTCCTTGTCAAGCAGCCCAGGGCCCAGTTCACAAAATGGTGCTGCCAACATTCCAGGAGAGTCATCCCACCTCTGTCAACCCAGTTAAAGTCACTCACAGTCATCCCTAAAGGCCACTCTAATCTAGGTGATTCTACATGTCAAGTGGACAATCAAAACTAAACCTCATGCTCTGATTCTGATACATGGGGAGCTCAAGGCCACCCTGGCTACATGAAATCTTGTCTCAAAATCCTAAGACTTTCTTTTTTTTTTTGGAGGGGGCAGTTCGAGACAGGGTTTATCTGTGTAACAGTGCTGGATGTTGCGGAACTCACTGTGTAGACCAGGCTGGCCTTCAACTCACTGAGATCCACGTGCCCCTGCCTCCCAAGTGCTGGGATTAAAGGCGTGGGCCACCACCTCCCGGCTAAGACACTCTTGATATATGTTTCTTCCTAAACTGCCCAGCTACTTCCCTTTCTGTGAATAGCCAACAGTCCGTGAAAAAACCATTGATTTCAGTAACTTGATCATTGAGCACCATAGCTGTAATCTAACTTTGTATTTCCATCTCTCCTCGGGGGATTCCATACCCACTGGTGGTCAGGCCTCATCCCATCGCTCCTCATATACACACTCAAGGCAGCCACTCATCTTCATCTGTGAACTTACCTCTTCTGGATAGTCCCTATAAATGGAAGCAGGCAATCTGGGACCTTTTATGACTTGGTTTAGGATAACACTTTGAAAGCTCACTAAGTCACTGACTCTCTGACTTACTCCTTTTTAGTGTTAAGAAGTATACCATAACAGGACACAAACCATTTTCATCTACCCTATTATCCGCAGACAGATATTTAGGCTGTCTCCAATTTGGGACTATGATATTCTCTGGTAGGTTTTTTTGTGTGAACTTTAATTTATAAGTATACACCTAGGGGAAGAGATGCTAGGTCTTAATAGTTCTTTTTAATTCTTATTTTAATTAAATTTGAAAATATTTTAAAACAATAATTTATATTATTTATGTAATAAATTATTTAAAAAATTTTTTAAAGATTTTTATTGAGACAGGCACTCATGGAGCACAGGTTAGCCTCAAACTTGGCAAGGATGACCTCGCGCTTCTGATCCTCCAGTCTTCATCTCCTGGGTTCTGGAATTATAGACATAAACCATCATGTTGTGTTCACAGAGTTCTGGGATGCAAGCGGAGGCTTTGAAAATGCCAGGCAATTTCTCCACTAACTCAGCCACACCTACAACCTCAGCCACTTCTTTAATTTTGTGTTATCTTTGTGTGTATGCTAATGTATGTGACTGTGTGCATACCGGTGGTCAAAGGACTTGTCCCCTGACCATCCAGTCCTTGTTTTCCATCTTCTTTGAGGTGGGATCTCTAATCCACCGCTGTGTCTGCCAGCCTGGGTGTTGCACAAGATTCCTGGAATTCTCCTGGCTCTGTCTCTCGTCTTGCCATAGAAGAGCTGGGATACGCAAGCTCGATATTTTGTGCCATTTTACACTGGTTCGGGTCCTCACAATTCACTGCAAGTCTTTTGCTCACCAGGACAACTTTCTAGACCCTAATTCTGGGAGGAAATGGCAGACTTTCCCACAAACAGTACTCTATTTTACTTCATTGCTAGTAAATGTGATGAGGTCTTTGATCTCCCCACCCTTGCCAAACGTATTACATAACACATTAATTATAAGCTCTCCCTGTGGCTGTGGTTTGGTTTCTCTTTGTGGTTTTGATTTCCACTTTACTAATGACTAATGTTGACTCCCATTGTTAAAAAACCCAAGCCAATCACATGACCAGCACTTCACCTCTCCCCCATTCCACAAAATTGATCAGTAAGTTCATTAATGATATCACCATTGCTAAAACCATGAGCCTCCCATTGGGGAGGGCAGCTTCTACAGTCAGTCTGTCTGTTTCCTCACACCTCTGTGTTATTATATGTATGTGTGAGGGGGCATATTATTTTTGTTTGTTTGTTTTCTGTTCCTTTTTGTTTGATTTCTTTGTTTTCTTTTGTTTCTGAGATAGGGTCTAAGAAGCTCTGGCTGGCCTGGAACTCACCATGTAGACCAGACTGGCCTTGAGCTTGGAGATCCACCTGCCTTAGCTTCCCGAGTGCTAGGATTCAAGGCATGTGCCAGCATAACCTGGCACGGAACGTTTTCTCCACGTGGCTGTCAGGATGCAACAGGAGCCTCTGTGATCTCCGTCCCTCAGTTTGTTTGTTTGTTTTGTCCCGGTTCTGGGCTGGGACGTTGCTTAGCTGCTACAGTGCGTCTGAGTTTGACCCAGCACTGCATAAACTATGAATGTTATTGCAAACCTCTGCTCCCTGAATATGGAGGTGGGAGGATCAGGAGTTCAAGGTTCTCTTTGTCCAAACTAGCCAAGAAAACACAAGCTCCAGATTCAGCCTCAAAATAGATGGAATGATAGACGAGGACATCTGAGTCTCTCTCTCTCTCTCTCTCTGACTTCACATGCACGAACAGGTAAGCACACTCATTTGCATAGTAAAATACTCATACTCTCACTCAATATAAACACACAAAAGTTTCAAAGCTTTTCTTTGGGTTCCTTTCCGTGCAGCCATTAGAGAAACCTTTTTCTTATCTGTCTACACATGGTCCTGCTATGTACTCAGCATTATGGCTCTAAGAGTCCTAATTAACACTCTCCACCTAGAGACAGAATTACTGAATATTGTCTAAATTCCAGACTAGTGTCCGAGAGATGTTTCCACCTAATAGTTAAACAGCACCTCACACCTAACTCCAAACTTTCCTCCTTTTAATCCGTCTCCCTGTCTCAACAACACAATGGCATCATTCCAGCTCCCTGGGCCACAGATTCAAGAGCCATGTTGCCAATCAAAGTAACTACTACAGCTTTTCCCTCCATCACTGATTCAGCCACAAATCCCATTTACCATGTAAGCTACCAATTCGAAAGGAAAGAGATATATGTAAGCTCAGAGGGGGCTCCAAGACAGCATATTGAGTATGGTCTGTGATGGACAGCAGCATGGTAGCCTAGTGCAGAGGTTCCCAACCTTTCTAATGCTGCAGCTGTAAGGATTCAGGCATCATGCTGGCCAGCCCCTGTCACCTGGCAGAATGCACTCAGGCAGTACTCTGGTCAGCCCAGGGTTCCATGATTGTGTAATATGTATGCAGGTGCAAAGGACCCCTTTAAAAGACAGACCCCTGACCACTTATACTCTCTCACCCTTTGCCAATTTCTCTCTCTCTTCTCCCCCTGCCGGTCACTCCCTTTAATAAACTCCATAGTTAATGTATGTCTTGGTTCGTGTTCCACCGAACCAGAAACTTCCACAAAAGAACAACAACAACCCTTTAATACGGTTTCCCACAATGTGGTGATGTCTCACCATCAAATTGTTTCATTGCTACTTTATAACTGTAAGTTTTCTACTGTGATGTATGGTAATGTAAATATCTGATATGCAGGATAACTGATATGTGACCCTTATGACAGGGTCATTCAACCCTGAAGGGGTCACAACCTATAGGTTGAGAATCACTGGCCTAGTGGTTCTCTTGCCATCAAACCTGGCAACCTGACCTCAGTCCCTGGTACCTACAAAGTAGGAGTATCTACCCCTGTAGGTTGCACTTTAGCCTCCAGAGAAATAAATAAATAATTCATTTAAAAAATTCAAAAGACTACCCAGAAGAGATACGCATGCTATACATACCTATAATTCAAGCACTTTGGGAATTGACACAACAACCAAGGTTCCAGGCCAGTCTAGGTTAGACATGGAGACCCTGTCTCCAAAACAAAACAAAACAAAACAAGAATATCTAGATAATGAGTATGGTCTCACACACAGATTCTGCCAGCATTTGGGTGGCTGAAGCAAGAAAATCCTGAGTCCCAGGACAGCTTTTCTACAAAGTGAGACTCTGTGAACAAAAAATAATGTTAGAAGGGTGTCTCAATTGGTAAAGTGCTTGTTGCACAAACACAGAGACCACAGTCCCTCCTTTTTCACCTGCATAATAAAACCCCAGGTGCAGTAGTGCATGTCTGCAATTCCAGGTTTGGAGAGGTAGAGACAGGTGGGGAACCTGGAGGCTAGGAAGTCTAGTTAGGTGGGTGAGCTCCAGGTACAATCAGAAACTCTGCCTCAAAGATACTAGCAGGGCTCAGAGTGATTGAAGGAGAGGCCCAGTGTCAACCTCTGGCTTCCACACAGGCACACTCTTGTACCACACACATGCACACCAAGACACACACACACAAGCCACGGTGACTTCTGTTGTCCTGGAGCAAGGACTGTACTAATTATAGTTACCTCTAACTGTAAATGCATTCAGCAAGACTTATCCCTTTCGAGTGATTCAGAGTGTAGGCAGCTGGTG